AAATAATGCCATTGCACACTTAATAGACAACAAGATAGTATAAACATAACTTTTGTATACACCTAGGAAACCAAAACCTTTGTGTCACTCACTTTATCACAGTGGTCTGGAACCAAACCCACAGTATCTCCGAAGTGTGCCTGTATATGTTTTTGATTAACAATTGGGAAAACAAATTTTTAATAAATGAAGTTTGTTTAATAGAAGAAGTGGAACTAGCAAAAATGAGAAGAAAAAACTGTATCAGTAGTGCTCAACTGGGGGCAATTTTGTCTCCTTGGGGAGATTTAGCAATGTCTGAAGATTAGTTGTCACAACTTGGTTGGGGGGCAGGGTACTACTGGTATCTAGTAGACAGAGGCCAGCAATGCTACTAAACATCCTACAATGCCAGGACAGCCCCCCAAGGTCCATAGTGCCATTGTTAAACCCTGGATTACATGAACAACAGATACCAAGGAAGCAGAATTACAAGGAGAAAGGGATCATTCTTTAAGACAACTGACACCACCTCTTCAATGAAGCAATATATTGGGGAAAAAAAGGTGGGGAGGCAGATATTCCGTATAAGATTAAGAGAGACTTAAGAACCACAATAACCAAATGCACAGTCCTTAATTAGATCCTGATTGGAATTAATCAAATATAAAAGGCATCTGGGGGACAAATGGGGAAAATATGAATTGGAATTAGAAAACGTTAGGGAATCATTGTTAATTTTTTGGGATGTGAAAATGGTATTATGATTATGAAAGAACGTATTGTTTTTTAAAGCATATATTTAAGTCTTTAGGGTTGAAGCACCAATATGTCCATAATTTATGATAAAATAGCAAAAAAGAGATGAAGCAAATACATAAAATATTAGTTGTTAAATCTAGATAATATGTATATTTTGTACCAGTATCTCTACTTTTCTGAGTGTCTGAAAATTTTCACATTTAAAGGAAAAGGAAGGAAGGGAGGGAGGGAGGGAGGGAGGAGGAGGAGAGAAAGGAAAGTTGAGTCATCAGTACCAAATTCTATAGAAGTTTGGAAAAGGGAGGTGAAAAAGGCCACTCGCTTTAGGAATTAGGAAGTCATTGGTTTACATAGTTTCAAAGAAAAATGGAGATAAGAACTAGGTAGCAAAAAGGATTCAGTCAGCTGGACATTAAGGAAGTAAGGAAACATTACCCTAAAAGGACAGACAGAAATAAGAGTGACTCGCAGGGAAGAAGAGTAAAAGAAAGATTCAAGGGCCTATATACATTTTATATGTGAAAAGAAAAAAACAGAGGGGAGGGAGAAATCAAAGGTAAAATGAGGGAATGATAATTGATGAAGCAAGAGCCCAGAGAAGCAAAAAAAAAAAAAAAAAGATTCACACTAGTGTACATAATTTAAAATCCAGGATAGACCCATTAATATGTATAAGCTTTTAAAATCAACCTGACAATGAAAACAGTAAAAGAGAATGAGGGAAGTAGAATGGAGGAGATCTTTTGTGAGGGCCGGGGAAGGAGCCAAATGATACAGTTAGACTTGGTAAGTCCTGCCAACCTCATGGCGTAGGGAGGTGTCTCAGATAGTAATGAGAGTGGGAAGAAAACATCAGTGTGTTAGTCTCATGATAGACCCAGCTGTTTGAAGCTTTATGTCCTTCAGTGGTCTTCTGTAAGTTTAAAAGGAAACAACACAAATCCCTACTATGATCCAGGCTCAGTAATTTACTCATCATCTTGTTTAATCTTCACAAAAAGGTGAAATTATCCCTTTTTAAAGAAAAGGCAACTGAAGCTTGGAGAGGTTAGCCAGTAGGTAAACAGAAAAAAATTCAAACCCAGGAGTCACTGGGAGGCCTATGCTCTTTCCATTTCTTGAAAACTTGGCCTTCTTTGTCAGTGCCTGGCCTTCAGTACTCCTGCACTGTACAAGACTAACTTGTGCACTGCACACTCAACAAGAAAGTCAAAATTAATTCCTTTCATGACAGGCAGGTACAGCGCTTAAAACACTTCTGATGATGAGTGTTTACAAAGGGAAACTGAGCAAAAGTGGAATTACAGAGAACGCTAATTTAGACATGATTTAGTGAGCCCAAAACCCAGCAACAAGATGAATGTGCAATGACCTCTGACACGACGGGTCCACGAAACTATTACCACACTCCAATATTCATGATCTGAAAAGTTGCTTGGGGTCTTTGCCTTACTGAGTAGCACTGGGGTCGGATCAGGAAGTCTATAGTAGCAGTGGACAGAAGCTGGGAAAGAGGAAGGGAAGAAGCAGGGAACACTCCTCACCTCTTTTCGTTTCTCCAACAGGCTCTCCAGCCGCTCAGGTGCTCTCAGCCCTGGCCCCTTGTTTCGTTCGGCCTCATACTGACGCTGATTGTTGTCTTTGTGCAGACTCAGTTGTAGGGCAACTCTCACCAGGGAGGTCATCAGTTTCATGGCTGTGAGGAAAAACAAGACAAAGAAATCATTACTTAAGTCAGAGGAGGGAGGACAGGTTTAAAACAGAAGGAAAAAAGGGCAGTGAAAATGAGAAGCTGGAGTATGGTGATGTGAGATCCTAGGACTGCCTGTCCTGGAGTGGACTTTCTCCTTCTGAACTCTTTTGGCCTTCCTTTAACCCTCAGCATAGTCCTGGTGGTGAGCCATGAGAAAAATATTAAGGCTGCAAATTCTTACTATGATTCATCCCTTTTCCACTCCATTAGTGAGAAACTGGATTAAGGTTTGGGATAAAAGGTGCATGGCCTTGAAGTAAAGAGCTAAGATGAGAGTAGGAAAGAAGACCTAGAACTGGAGAACAGAGGAAAGTCCTACCAATTCCCAGTAGAATGTCCATAGAGTAAAAATGAGTGCTCACCAGCGAGGGTGCTAGTGTGACGGAAGGCACGAACTTGGGAGTCTGAGAGGCCGGTGAGAAGGGAGATGAGGTTGTCCATAGGGAAGCCATCATAGAGGAGGCCATACTGGCACTGATAGACCAATGTTCTCACAAACTCACAGAAGCTGCCCTGGAACTTCTTCCAGGATGGACCTGGAGCTGTCAGGGGGTAGTCCCCTGAGTCCTACAGAAGGATTTAAGAAAAGGATGGCAAGTTATTACCAGGTCCATTAACCCATAGGGGCTTGGATATCAACAGTATAGTAAAAATGTATCCCCGTAATACCTAATTTCCTGTTATTCTCCCCAACTCTAGAGGTATATTCAAGTAATATCTAAGGGTCCCTTTTACCCCCAAGAGATTGAACTCCTCCTCCTAAAAGCGACCCTATTTCCAGGAACCAGAAAGAAGGGGGTAATAGGCCTTGTGTTTTAAAATAAGAGGGGCAAGAGGATCCTGGTCTTCGTCCACCTCATTAAACTGTTCTGTTAGGTGCTGGATGATCTCTGAGTTGGACATCTTCGTGAACATCTCGGGGGTCACAGTGCCTGAAGAATGGAGAAGATAAGGAAAATAATAGGATACTGTGAGTATTTACAGACACATGTGAAGAAGAGAAAGAGAACATATTTAAAAGAGTTTAGGTGGAGAATCAGAAGACCTGAATCCCAGTCATGTCATAAGTCTGCCACTAACCAAATTGTGTGTCTGCTATAAGACAACTTCTCTGGATAACCCAAAGGAATCAAGCAGTAGAAAATTGTGGTTTAAAAAAATAACCCAAATAAAAAACCAAATAAAACTAGGACAGATGCTGGATTCTTATATAATACAACTTGACTGAGACTATCTGCCTTAATAAATTAAGCCATGGCATCTGGAGATCTGGGGGCACCACAGTTTCAGAGAAATATGGGCAAAGTGGCTGAGAAAGTAAAAGATTATTTCATCTGGAAAGACTGAAGGATGCCTGACAGTCCATTTTCAAATTTGTGAATACCATTATCATCACATATGCATGATTAGTTATTTTTCCCCAAAGGGCCTTAACTTCAACCAACATAGTTCCCTCCTGGACCACTTTCTTTATCTACCAATGAAAAATGTTAAATAGGTTAAACTTTTCTGATGCTTTACCTTTTCCCTTTATTTAGGAAATGTCTAATCCTCATCTAAATGGAGTAAGAATTTCACAACATTGTAGCAAAAGACTGGGGATTAGAAAAGGAAAGGAGTTTCCTTACCTTTACATCCACAAGATCGGATGAAAAAGTTAATTAGCTCCAGGAATCCTGCATCTTGGTCTTGCTTGTAGTTATCCAGCCACTCATCTACTAAAGACTAGGGAAAAAATGTGGATGATTTCTATTTCTGGCGACATGACAGAATATAAATCCTGTATGATCTTCCCAACTGATATATCTGAACTTCTGATTAAAATATTAAAAACAGAGCCAGATGCTGTGGCTTACGCTTATAATCCCAGCCACTCAGGAAGCTGAGGTGGGAGGACTGCTTGACCCAGGAGTTCAAGACCAGCCTGGGCAACACAGCAAAAAACTGTCTCTACAAAAAATTTTTTAAAAAATTAGTCAGGTACGGTGTCATGTGCCTGTAGTCCCAGCTACTTGGGAGACTGAGGCGGGAGCATCACTTGAGCCCAGAAGTTCAAGGCTACAGTGAGCTATGACTGTGCCACAGCACTCCAGCCAGGGCAACAGAGAAAGACCCCATCTCTAAAATAAATAAATTGATAAACTATTCAAAACATCTTTTAAAATGTATTGCTGAAAGGTAGAATTCCATATAGGCCAAAAATGAGGTGAAGGTACCAATCCTGGGAGGTAAGCAAGCTGACTTTTGCCGTGAGGGTTTTATTAAACCCTGGGGACCCTGACTTTGTGTCAGGATGGCTGCATGAAGTGCAGAGTACAAGAGATAGAGCCTAAAGTCTTTCCAAGAGTAGTTCAAGAAGAGATGCCTACAATAAAGCTGGGTCCTGCAGAGAGTCACATCCTCAAGGAAACAAGAATGAAAAATAAACCTACAGGGCAGACAAGGATAGCAAGAAAACTAGCTTGTTATGATCTTAGTGTGGGTGAACGGAAAAAAAGGCTTCTCCCTTGGGAATTCATAACCATATGTAGCCCTCGTATCTGGATTCGCAGTCAAGAGTCACACTACATATATGATCAGAATCATCTCAATCAGAGAATTTAATTAAAAGTGAATCTGGAGTATCCCCAGGAAACTGCCAGAAGTAAATGCAGATTCTTCTCTTAAAAACCCACTTTTTGGGGTGAGGGGTGCAAAAAAACCCACCTTTAGCCTAGGCCCCAAAGAATTCCAACACATAAAGCACCAGGCAGAATAACTGGCTCACAGTAAAACCCAGTAAATATATAAAGAAACAAGGCACTGACGCCATTATTATATTCACAAAGACTAGACAATAAAGCTATCAGACTATAAAATTACCATGTTTGATACAATTAAAGAAATAAAAGAGACTTCTGAAAGTAGAAGCAAAGAACACTCAAATTTGAAAATGGGCCAAATAAAATTTACAGAAGTGAAGAATATAATAAATAGAATTTTAAAATTCAACGGAAGGATTAAAAGCAGACTGGACATAGCAGAACAGAAGATGAGTGAACTGGAAGTTGAGTCAAGGAAATTATCCAAAATGTAGCCCAGAGAGACTAGCAGGTGAAAATAATGAAAGAGATATTAAGACACATGGAGGCTGGACATGGTAGCTCACACCTGTAATCCCTGCACTTTGGGAGGCCGAGACAGGAGGATGCTTGAGGACAGGAATTTAAGACCAATCTGGCAACAAAGTGAGACCCTGTATATACAAAATATAAAAAAATTAGCTGGGTGCAGTGGCGTGCACCTGTAGTCCCAGCTACTTGAAAGGTTAAGGCGAGAAGATCGCCTGAGCCAAGATGTTCAAAGTTGCAGTGAGCTATGATGGTAACACTGCACTTGAGCCTGGGTGATAGAGTGAGACTCTGCCTCTTTTAAAAAAAAAAAAAAAAAAAAAGAAAGAAAGAAAGAGAATAAAGTGAGCAGCTCTAATGATGTCCAACTGAATTCCAGAAGATAATAAAATGAGAAAGAGGTAGTATTTGAAAAGAATTTTCCATACATACTTGTTGAAAGACACCAATCCAGAGTCAGGAAGCTAATGGATTTCAAATATGACAAATAAAAAGGGAATTTACAACTATACGCATCCTTATAACATCAGAACAAAAGTAAAAAAAGTCTTGAAAACAGTCAAAGCAAAAAAGAAATTACTTACAAAGAATGTGCATTTAACACTTACAAAGTAAAACATTTACAAACAAGATCTGCACACATACGTTAGCCTCTAGCCATATGTGGCTATTAAAATTAAATCAGGGCTGCGCGCGGTGGCTCACGCCTATAATCCTAGTACTCTGGGAGGCCGAGGCGGGCGGATTGCTTGAGCTCAAGAGTTCGAGACCAGCCTGAGCAAGAGCGAGACCCCGTCTCTACTAAAGATAGAAAGAAATTAATCAGACAACTAAAACTATATAGAAAAAATTAGCCGGGCATGGTGGTGCATGCCTGTAGTCCCAGCTACTTGGGAGGCTGAGGCAGGAGGATCACTTGAGCCCAGGAGTGTGAGGTTGCTGTGAGCTAGGTTGACGCCACGGCACTCTAGCCCGGACAACAAAGTGAGACTCTGTCTCAGAAAAAAAAAAAAAAAAAGATGCTGTGAACACTGTTGAAATGACAATAAAGGATTTAGAACATTACATAAACTTAGTTGCTACAGCAGCAGCAGGGTTTGAGAGGACTGACTCCAGTTTTAAAAGAAGTTCTACTGTGGGTAAGATACTATCAAAACAGCACTGCATGCTACAGAAATATTGTCTGTGAAAGGAAGAGTTAACAGATACAGCAAACTTCACTGTTGTCTTATTTTAAGAAATTGCCACAGCCACCCCAACCTTCAGCAACTGCCACCCTGATCAGTTAGCAGCCATGCACATTGAGGCAAGATCTTCCACTAGCAAAAAGACTGGAACTCACTGAAGGCTCAGATGATTCTTAGCATTCTTTAGAAATAAAGCATTTTAAATTAAGAGATATATATATATTGTTTTCTTTGCTATTGCACATTTAATAGACTACAGTATAGTATAAACAGACTTTTATATGCACTAGGAAACCAAAAAATTCATTGGCTCATTTCATTGTGATA